GGCGCGGAGCTGCCCCGCGCTCAGCCTGGGCTGCAAGTGCTCGGCCGAGCGGGCCAAGGCGGGCGGCGGCCCCGGCGCGCCCCGGAGGAGGGTGGTCTGCAGCGGCGGGGGGCTCCCCGCTCCGCCCGAGCCGCGACTGCTGCCCGACGGCACCGTCACGCTGTGAGTACCGCGAGCGGGACCGCCCCGGGCATCCCCCCCTGCCCCGCGGCATCTCCCCCGGGCATCGCCCCCGCATCCCCACGGGCATCTCCCTCTGGCCCCGCACTGCCCCGCACTGCCCCGGCCGGGCGCTGCTGCCCCGGGGCGCCCCGAGAGGGACGGGAGCCCACGCGTGGGTCTCGCTGAGCCCGCTCCGTGCTCCGCTCCGTGTGGGGGGGACCCCGCATCGCCCCCGGCTCGGGGAGGTGCTGGCGGGACACGGGAGCCGGGAGGTGAAGCCCCGCGGGGTCGGGGAGCGCAATGAAGTTCCTTTTTTCTCTCGATAAGCGCCTCTGCACCAGCGAAAGCGTCGCTCGGTGCTGCGTAACGTGGTTTAAATCGCGTTAAAAGAAGTGTCGCGGCTCTGGACCCCGCTGTCCCCGCGGCGCGGGGCTGGTGTGGACGTGAGCTGGAAATCCAGGAAACGGGCTCCTTCTCCCGCTTCCCTCCGCGGCGTTTCTGAGTGCTGGGGAGGATGTTTTTGTTTGAAAGTGACTGTTCTCGCTGGAAATATTTACTGAGAAGCGACAAGGAGAGGTTAATGGGTTTGGAGTTTGTGCAAAGGGTCTAAAGCTGCTGCTTGGTCCCTAAAGGCTCCTCTTCCTCACGCCCCCCTTGCCGGGGGTTGGGGTTCAGCCGGCGCTGGCAGCCGTGTGCTGCTCGCTGCAGGGTTTATTTATAACTCCGGAGGAGATGTTTGAATTAAAATCTGGATGGGAGGCTGGGCTGGCAGCCCTGCAGCTGAGGGGAACGTCGCCTTCACCCGGGGTGTCATCCAGTCAGGGCGGGCAGCCCACGCCAGTGTGCCCGTGGTCGTGGCTCCCACATTCCGCTCCTCGGGTGGGTTTGGTTGGATGCTGCTGAGGGTTGGGGGCTGCCGAGCCCCTGGTGCTGTCCATCCCCACACGCTGGAAACCTCTCAATCACGTTGCTGTTGCTCTTGGTTCCCTGGGTGCCAATCATTGCCTGGGGTCCTCTCTTCAGGGTGATGGTGGCAGCGAAGGGACCCCGCTGGCACCACTGTCCCCGCGTGGAATGTGGCTGTGGAACACACCGGTGCTGCAGAGTGGGGCCACGAGCAGGGGCTGAGTGTGACAGTTCCATCAAAAGCATGAAGTCATATTGGAATAACAGCACTGATGGGTGTCCCTGGCACCCCTTGGTGGGGGACACTGGGTGGCTGTGGGCAGGTGACAGCTGTGGGCAGGTGACAGCTGGGCTCTCCATCACATCCTGAGCTTTGCTCTTCGTGGCTTTGCTCCTACAGCCCTTCCTTGTGCCTCAGCCCCTTGCAAACACCCGTGGGGGCGTTTAGGCCCTTGTTGGTTTTTATTTGGGAAAGGCAACCCATCCCATGCCTGCTCCGGTGCCCTCTCCAGCTGTTCCCAGCAGGGCAGAGGGTTTGTGCTGCCTGTGCTGGGCCGGCTCCCTCAGAGGGGCCAGGATGACGGTGCAGAAGCATTTAGGGCATTACACGATCCCACTAAAACGTGACATGAAACCTACAGGCGTAGGCAGAAACCTACAAATATGCGGTGACCCTGGCTCTGCTCTCGCGCAGTAAACATGATTTATTCCAAACCCTTTCCAGATGGAACAATCAAAACCAGAGGCTCCGACTTTGGGAGCGTCTCCTGGAGCCACTGGGGTGCGGGCAGGGAGCGGAGGGGCCCAGGCACGTGGCAAGGGCTGCACGTGCCTTGGGGACACCCTGCTGGGGACAGCCAAATCTCGACTCCTGCGGGTGAGCCGGGTCTGGGCAGGGCTCCTACATGTGCCCTGGGGTGCTGGGTCTCAGCTGTGCCCTGGGGGGCTCAGGCCCTCTCCGTCCCCTGGGGTGCTCAGCATCGCAGGAAGTGTGGGGCGTGTTTGGGGCAGTAATGCTTCAAAGCAGAGCCGTGTTCCAGTCCTCATCCAGTCCAGCCTGAAGGCAGGAGTGCCTGAGTGCACGGGGAGGCTCTTCCCAGCAGCCACCAGCGGAGGAGGGATCTGGCCTGGCCACGGCTCCGTCTGTCTGGGCAGTGGCCGGGGACAGGCGGACGGCCAGAGGAGGTCGGGTGGCTGGAGGAGGTCTGTCGCCCTGTGGGTCCCTCCTTCGGCTTTTTCCCACACTCTCGCTTTACTTCTTTATTTATCTTCAATTATTAGGCCTGTGCTGAGGAATCTTGTTCTGCCTCCTCGGCAGCTGCTGCGCATTTACCCCCCCTGTGCCTGAGAAACGCTCGCTGGCATCGCAGCAGGGACAGGGGACAAAGGATGAGGGGACAAAGTGCACCCTGGGGACCTGCAGCCACCGCTGGGCTCGGCCTCAGTCCCAGTGCCCCAGACACATGTTGGTGTCCGATTGGGAACATCTTCCAAGCAGAGCTGTGTCTCCTTCCTCTTCCTTTGGCTCCTCGCAGGGATCACCAGGAGCCAGCATGGGGACACATGTGGGGTCTGGTGAGCAGGGTGGTGCTCACGAACCCCTCTGCAGCCCCAGCAGACGTTACACACACAGCGTGTGCTCTCTGACACCCGCCCCGGTTTACACCCAGAGTTTCATTCCTGCCCCCAGCTCCCTGCAGGGAGGAAGGAGGAGCACCAGCCTCAGTGTCACCCTGTTCTGATGTGGCCCTGCGGAGCTCACCCGGCTGTTTTGGCAGGGCTGGCACCGACGCAGCCTGGGGCAATCCCCCAGCCCCACATCCTGCTCCTGTTGGGGCTGGGGGATTTGGGACCTCTCTGGGCCACCCCTCCGGCGTGGCTGTGGCTGTGAGGTGCCGGGGCACTGCAGACGTGGATTAACAAGGCTTTAATCCCCCCCAGCTGACCCCTGTGCTAATCGGCCGGTGGAAAAAGCGCCATATCCCTAACGAGAGCTGGAGAGCCATGGCCAGCCCCGCTGTCACACGGGCGGGAGCCCAAACCTCTTCCAGATGTGGAATCCCAGCACAGGCCTCATTTATGTGCACAGCTTGATTGCACTGAAATTACAGATTGTCTGCAGGGAATAGAGGGCTTTGACTTATGACCAATTTCCAGTTCTACTTGAACTCCCCGCTCCAAGGCCGCTCTATCCTGGGCCCTGCAGATGGTTGCTTTCTGAAGCCTTCCTCATCTTTTTATTTGTTGTTTATTGGGCTGCAGCTCCATCAGGTTTGGGTTTTCCAGAGGCTAAGGGTCGTGGTGCTGCCCCTTGTGTCGGAGCATCCCAGCCCACGCTGGCTCTGGAGGCTTCATCCTCTCTCTGGAGCTTATTTTTCCTGTGCTAACAAAAGCTGAGGCTTGGAACAATAATTTTCACCATCCGAAATAGCCCGGCGTGACGTGAGGCTGGAGGCAACGTCCGGGCATGGGCGGGGCAGGGAACAGCCCCTGAGCACCCAAACAAGGTGGGGACAGGGGTCCCAGCCAGGGCTGGGGGGTCTCCAGTCCCACTGGGCTGGGAGCTGTGGGGTCCCCTCTGGGATCCTGCAGGGTCTCCCCTGGGATGCAAGGTCCCTCCCTGGAGCTGTCAGGCCCCTCTTGGGGTGTTGTGGGGTCCCCCTGAGAACTGTGGGGTCCCTCTGGGATGCTGTGGGGTCCACCCTGGGATGCTGCAGGGTCCCTCTGGGTTGCTGCCTGTCCTCCCCTGGGATGCTGCCACCCCCAGAGCCCTCCCTGCTGCCAGAGCCCTCGGCACCTCTCACCAGCCCCGGGGCCCCTCTTTTCTCTTCCCCAAATCCCTCTGCAGAGCAGCGAGCCGTGCTCGGGGCGCAGCCTGCGCCGTATCTGCTCCCGGCATATGCTTTGAATTAATGCACTTGGAGAGCAGAGCCGGGCCGGGTCCCCGCCCCCACCGCGGCCCCCCCAGGAACCTCCGCGCCGCTGCCTTCCCTGCCCGGGCTGGGGAGCCACCGTCTCCCCGCGTCCTTTTTTGGTTGGGTCCAGAGGAAGTTTATTGTTTCAGCAGCCCAGTTTCTGGAGCTGTTATTTATCCAAGTGGATTCCAGCACGCTTGAAAAAACAATCTTGTTTTTTTCGCTTTTGGCTCCTCTTTTTGAGATTTGAAAAAAAAAAAAAAAAAAAGAGAAGAAGAAGAAGGGGTCTGTGTCTCCCTGCCGGCAGCCTCGTGGGCTCCAAGCCCCCACAGCCCCAGCATTGGGGTGGGGGGTTGGAGTGCAGATGCTGCACCCCTTCCAGGGCCGGATCCCCCAGGATGGGAGGATGCTCCTCGGGGCTCTCCCCGCCGTCCCCACCATGCATCCCCCATCGTTTCCGTTTGACTCCACGCTCTGGTCCTTAATCCCTGCATTGTCCGGAGGGACTTTTCCAGCCGCAGCTCAATTAGCCAATTATTGTCCCCGTGGCGGGGCTGTCCCTGACGGGAGCCCCCCACCCGCCCACGCTCCCCGGGGCCGGAGGGTCTCAGGGCACTGGGCAGGATGAAGGCGCCGTTTCGGGTGGAGAGACGTGGGGGTGGTCAGGCACTGAGGGCTGGGGGGGTCCCCAGCCCTTCCCACCCAGCATATCACTCCAAGCCCGGGCTGGGCCTTCCTCTTGCTGAGCTGAGGGGTCCCATCCCCTCTCCCCCTCAGGTGATCCCTCCTCCCCGGGGCAGCTCTTGTGGTTTGAAATCCAGCTGGGGGTCTGGTTTCGTCCCTGCGTGCCAAGGGCTGGGTCCCTGCGTGGGGTCCCCAGTGAGGCTCGGGGTTTGCTGGCCCGTGACCCCTGTGTGTTGGATCAGGGTGGCCCAGCAGACACACTGATCCCGTAGTATTTTGGGGTTTCTCAGGTAATCTCATGTGAGGGGACGGTGGTGAGGGCCTGCACAGGGCTCAGCTGCCTGCGGACACACGAGAGCAGAAAGTCCCATGGAGCCTGATGAGAACTTCCTGGGAAAAAAATACAAAACCAAAACACAACCAAAAAAAAAAAACAAAAAACAACAGAAAACAATTGGGAACATAATATCCATGAAACTAGAGAAAACAAAACAAACCCGTGTTGGAGGATGTGGGCTGTAACAGGGGAGCGTGAACCGGCTGGCTTCTGTGGGACAGGGAAGAGAAGAGCCAGGATCCCTACCCAGGAAGGGTTTTACCAGGAAAGAAAACTTTTGGGCAAACTGTTGCTGTCAGCGCAGCTTTTTGTGTCAACAGCTCGTTTTGGGCAAGGATCTCTTCTCTTTTGGAGCTCAGGGTGTCTGTCCCACACCAGCCGGCTCTGGAGGGACTCCAGGGGTGGCTTTGCCAAGGTGATCCCCAGGGGTGGCTGATCCCGTTGGATCGTGGGAGCGTTGCCTTTTAAGGTGGGAGATGTGGAATGGCAGAGGCACAGATGGTCCCAGGGGCCCAAGAACAGAGAGAGGGTCCCCGGGGCTCAGCCTGGGGCTGCATTCCCAGCGGGGTGCAGCTCCCTGGTGCTCCGGCCCTCCCGGCTCTGCCCACCACACTGGGGCATGGGCATGGCTGTGTCCCCCTGCACAGCCAGTGCTTTGGGTTGTGAAATCTCCTGCTGCTGGAATGAAAACCTCCTGGAGCCACTGGGGCCTTGAGCAACAGCTCCCGCCGACACCGTGACGGGGAATTGGGGCACACTGAGGGGCTGCTGTGGCCCAGAGCTGGGGCTTTACTGGGAGTGGTGGTGCTCTGGAAACATCCCTGCTGCCCCCTGCTCTGGGAAGGGTCCTGGGCTGAGCCGGCACCGTGGTCGCTGCTGGGGCGAGCCGCGCCCCGGCAAAGAGGGGTCCTGGCAGGGAGGAAAGGGTCAGACACGGCCCCGGCCCCGGCAGCTCCGGCCGCCGGTGTGTGGAAGCAATTTGCGGCCGTCGGGGCTGCCGGACGCTTCCGCTCCCCTCCGGCCGGGGCGAGGGTCCCGCGGACCGGTGCTCGGTGGCGGCTCCTCATTAGCACAGGATGCGGGGGCCGCGCTGCGGGACCCCGGCCCTTCCCTCCCAGCCAGCCCGGGAGGGTGGCATCCCCCTCCCGAGCCGGGTCTGGTCCTGCCCGTGAGCCGAGCGTGGCCGCGCGTCCGGGCGGGACGGGCTGGCAGCACACACAGCCCCCATTCAGCCCGGCCGCCGGGCCCGCCGTGTGTAAACAGCCCCGGCCCGGCCCTCAATGAGCCCTTTTTTCCCCGCGCCTCCCCCCGGCCGAGGCTCCCCGGTGCCCTCCCGGCCCCGGCCGCCGCCTGCCCCGGCTCTGCCGCCGGGTCACATTTGCCGGCGCTGGCGTCGCCGGTGCCCACGCGGCCGCCCTGGAGGCACCGCCGGTCCCCGAGAGCCGTCTGGCTCTGCTAATTGCAGCTTTAATGAGGTCCTGGCTTAATCGTCGGGTGCCGGTGCCCTCCGTCCGCTCCCGTCTCCCCACAAGGGCCCCTTCGGCCAGCAAACTGTTTATTTTGGAATAGAATCGCAGGGCTGGGAGGCTCCCGGGGTGGCCGCAGTGCTGTGACCAGCAGGAGCTGGGGGGTCCCCTCCTGGTTGCAGGTCCTCGGGGTGCCCTGGGTGCTGGGGTGGGGGGGGTCATCGCCCACCCGTGCAGCTCCCAGGTGATGCCCCAAGAGCTGGCACGGGGACCACGTGGTGTTCCATGGCATGAGGACCATGCAGAGTATCCCATGGTCCCACCTGGCCGTTCAAGCCTGTCCCTGAGAGTTCACCTTGTTCCAGTGGCACAGCTGGGGCTGGGGCTTCTCACAGGGGGGTCTGGTTGTTCCCACTCCCCTCCAGCCCCCAGGTCACCAGGGCATGGCCGGGGGTCCACGGCAGGTCAGGTAACGAGGCTACCTTTCTCCCTTTGCTCTTCCCACAGGCTGCTGAGCAACAACAAGATCACGGTGCTGGAGAACGGCTCTTTCTTCGGGCTGTGGGCTCTGGAGAAGCTGTGAGTGCCCGGCGGGCAGGAGGGTGGGGGGCAGGCAGGGCTTCCATGGCGTGAGGATGGAGTGGGTGCCAGCATCACCACCCACATCCCACTCCTGGTGTCATTCCTGGGAGCTGCAGCGGGACTGGGACCCCGGGGCACGGAATTTGCCGCCGGCACCCACGGGCATCCCAGGGACCCCGGGAGCTGTGGTGGGGCAGGAGGCACCGGGGGGGCCGCGCTCCGTGAGGGCCGGTATGAAAAGCAACATTGTCCCCCCGAACAAAGTCAACTTTCTTATCTCTCCATGAAAGGCATCTCTATGGAGGGAGCTGCGAGGAGGGGAGATTTATGGCCCCCATATGGGTTTGATCTGTAGGTATGCAGGCGCGGGGACCGGCACTGAGGGCGTTTTGTTCCCCGCCAAGGTCTCGCGCATTCCGGCGCCCCGCGGGCTCCCGTGGAAATCCCCACGGGACTGGTTTTGGGGTGAGCGGGAAGCAGTCACCTTGGGGGCACCATCCCACACGGCCAAGTCCTCCCCAACATGAGTCCAGGCCTGGGGTCAGTTCCTGCCCCTGGCACTGAGCTCTCATTAATGCTGAGGAGCAGTGAGGCCACTCCTGGGGAGGACTCTGGCTCTGCAGCCCCCAGGGTGTCCAGGATCCCCACAAAGGTCTCTGTGCCCTGGGAGAGCAGCCGCCCCAGGTCACCTGCTGCTCACCACAGGGTCAGAGGGGTCCAGAGAAGGTGGGCAGCACTCCCCCACCCCAGGCTGGCCACATCTCCCTGTGCAGCTCCTGATTGCCCTCGACAGGAGCCGTAATTGTTTTCATCAGGTCGGTTTGGGGCCACGGCACAGACGTGCCCCGTGGAGAGTCCGGCTGGTGTGGTGGGGACACACTGGGGGCTCCAGGACCCCTTCCTTCTCATCCTGGGGCTCACAGGGCCCCTGCTCACCCTGGCTGCCCATCGTGGGCACTTCAGAGTCCCAGCATGATGGGGAGAACCGATTCCCGGGGTCTCAGCGGTGCCCCCATGGACCACTGCCCCTCCAGGCTTGGCATCTCCGGTGATTTGTAGCGGCGTAATGAGATTAATGAGTCTGAGCGGGGCCGGTATGTGGCGGCGGCCTCATTAGCACAGCCCCGCTTGGGAATGGCCCAGGGGGACTGCGAGGGGGCTCGGCGGGTGACAGAAGGGACAGGGATAGACTCTGTCCCTTCGTCTGCCCCTGTCTGAGCTGGGCTGAGGCGGGTGCCCAGGTCTCCCTCGGTGTGTGCAGGTGGGTGTTTGCAGGGCAGGTGTTTGCAGTGTGCCTGTTGTTGGTGCAGCGGGTGGTGGCGGTACAGGTGAGTGGAGCTGTTCCTTCAGCACCAGCGCTCACCTGTGCACACCTGCCTGCACACCTGCCTGCACTGCTGGCCATGGGAGCTGCCGGGACGTGCGTTTGCTGCTCTGGAAGGCTGGGGATGGCAGGCATGTGCAGAGCCGTTGCATCAGCCGAGTGGGGCCGGGATGACGCCGGCTGTGTTTCCTCTCCCTGCAGGGCCCCTCATGTCTCTCTGGCTGGACTCCCACCCCCCTGCACTCTGGCTCTGCTGGAAGGGGTTGCACTGCTCCTCATCCCAGGCACTGGCTCCTGGCCCTGCAATGGGGCTGTGGTTGATGGGGTGTCCCCAGGGCCGCAGGCGGAGCAGCGGGAGACCCAGCGCCGAGCTCCCTGGAGACTGCTATAAATAAACACAGATCCATATGGATCCCATTTCCTCTCCCAGCCAGTGCCGGTGCTCGGCAGGAGTTGCCTCGGGTCCCAGGGACTGGATGGAGCAGCTGATGCCACCAGTGCTGCCAGCCCTTCTGGCAGCCTGACCAGCCCCTGATAGGATACATGCCTGCAATCAGGCTAATCACCCAAATGAGCTTCCCAAGGGCCACAGAGCTTGTCCAGGGCTGTGCTCTTATCCCAGACACGGGAGATAACCCACCGGGATACGGCTGTTCTGGAAGCATTGTGGGGCCAATGCCAGCAGCCAATGCCAACGTGCAGGGGCATGTGATGCTCCTTGGTGCACTCGGAGTGTGCCGAGGGGCTGGCATCCCCCTGGGAGCAGCAAGGAGCCTCGTGCCTTCCCTGCACCCTTCAGAGATAACAAGAGGGAAATGGGATGGAAAACTGCTAATGAGGCCCTTGTAGGGTGTTTGCAGTGCCTGGAGGGGCTGAGGAAGAAGATGAGGGCTGGGAGTGGATCAGGTGCACTCGTGCCCTTGGCCCCCCTGCGTTGTGTCTCCTGGGGACAGGGCTCCCTGTGTCACACCCCAAGGTCTGTGTCTGTCTCCCCACAGGGACCTGAAGAACAACCTGATCAGCACAGTCCAGCCGGGCGCCTTCCTCGGCCTCCCTGAGCTGAAGCGGCTGTAAGTGCCAGCACAACCCCCCGAGAGCACGTGGGGCTGGCCCTGGGGACAGTGGGGACAGCGGGGTGTCCCCAGCCCTGATGGTCCCTCTGCTTACCTTGCAGGGATCTCTCCAACAACCGCATCGGCTGCTTGAGTGCCAGTGTCTTCCAGGGGCTCCCCAACCTCCTCCGGCTGTAAGTAGCTCCCTGGGGACATCCTGGCCAGCCCTCCCCCCTGGCTCCTGAGAGGGGGGCAGTGTGAGGGCTCAGCGAGGGGGTAGGATGTGTCCCCTCTCCCAGCAGGTCCCCGCTCCTCTCCATGCCACCTTTCTCTCCTGTCCCGCAGGAACATGTCCGGGAACATCTTCTCCAGCCTCCCGCCCGGCGTCTTCGACGAGCTCCCCTCCCTGAAAGTCGTGTGAGTTTGTGCCCCAGGATTTTGGCACCAGGGGGAAACCCTGCCGAGGGTCTCAGGGTTGGTGTGTGACCCTGTGAACGCCGTCCCTCGCAGGGACTTCGCCACCGAGTACCTGACGTGCGACTGCAACCTGCGCTGGGTGCTGCCCTGGGCCCGCGACCGCTCGGCGCAGATCTCGGAGCGGACGGCGTGCGCGTTCCCCCGGCAGCTGCGGGGCGTGACCCTGCGCGGGGCGCGGGACGGGCAGCTCCGCTGCGGTGAGCCCGGGGCCGGGGCGGGGGCGGCGGCGGCGGCGGCGGCGCGGGCTCACCTGTGTCCCCCGCAGCGGGCGCCCCGGAGCTGCACACCCACCACCTCATCCCGTCGCTGCGCCAGGTGGTTTTCCAGGGCGACCGGCTGCCCTTCCAGTGCACGGCCACGTACCTGGACAACAGCACCCAGATCCGGTGGTTCCACAACCGAGAGCCCGTGGAGGAGGACGAGCGGACGGGCGTCATCGTGGAGGAGAGTCTCATCCATGACTGCACCTTCATCACCAGGTCAGGGGTGGGGACCGGGATGGGAATGGGGATGGGAACGAGATGGGGACAGGGATGGAGATGAGATGGGGATGGCAATACAGACCACATGGAGATGGGGATGGGGATGGACACTCGTGGCCGCAGGACTCGCAGGTTTGCAGGTACTGAGTGCCACGGGAGGGCTGCCAAGTGGGGGCACCTCCTGTGCTTCATGGCATGTGTCCCCGAGCCCCCAGGCCTGGGGGACCACTGCTGCAGGCTCGCCGTGGGGCAGCCCCGCCGTGCCAGCCCGTCCCCTCTGCCCGCAGCGAGCTCATCCTCTCCAACATCCACGTCTCCGCCAACGGCGAGTGGGAATGCGCTGTCTCCACCTCCCAGGGCAACGTCAGCAAGAAGGTGGAGATCGTGGTGCTGGAGACCTCCGCGTCCTACTGCCCTGCCGAGCGGGTCACCAACAACCGCGGGGACTTCAGGTGGGGACACACGTGGTCTGTGGTCTGTGCCACGTGGAGCACGGGCGGGCCGGGGGCTCGCCTCGCCTCCCCTCACCTCGCCGCAGGTGACCGGGCGTCTGGTAGCGATTAGCGGCCGTGGGGAGCGCGCGCGCTTTTGAAGGGCTTCCCGTGCCGGCGGCGCAGCCTGGCTCCAGCAGCAGAGGTGTTGGAATTTCTCTGGCACGAGACGAAAGGCTCCGGGCGCCCGCCGTAACCCCGGCGGGGCCCTTACGGAATATAAATTACTGGCACAGTCAATGTGGCTTAAATTAGCGGTGCCCCCCACCCCTGCTGCCTCCCCCCTGCGCTGCCAGGGCCGAGCAGGATACGGGATTGGAGGGGGTGGGGGATTTTTGGGGAGTATCACCCTCAACCCCCCCCTGGAGCCCAGGAGAGGTGGGGGCTTGGTGGAGGGTGTCGGGGGCCACGGTGCTCGCGAGTGGCGCTGGGCAGGGGGTGCATGGGGGGGGGATGCTGGTGGCAGGTGCCCCACGGTCACCGTGTGTGGGTGCCCGCAGGTGGCCCCGCACCCTGGCGGGTATCACAGCCTACCAGCCCTGCCTGCAGCACCCGTTTGCCGCGGGGCCGGCAGGCGCGGGCGCGGCGGGCGAGAAGCAGGCGTGGCGGCGCTGCGACCGCACCGGGCGCTGGGAGGACGGCGACTACTCCCACTGCCTCTACACCAACGACATCACTCGAGTGCTCTACACCTTCGTGCTGGTGAGTGGGGGTGCCAGGGGGCTTGGCCGGGGCTGGGGGGGCCAGGCACAGCCGGTGACTGTGCCCTCTCCGTGGCCACAGATGCCCATCAACGCCTCCAACGCCCTGACCCTGGCACACCAGCTCCGCGTCTACACGGCCGAGGCAGCCAACTTCTCCGACATGGTTGATGTCCTTTACGTGGCCCAGATGATAGAGAAGTTTATTGGCTACGTGGACCAGATCAAGCAGGTAACGAGTGGTGCAGCTGTCCCCTGCTTGCCCCAGTGCTGCCCCGTGGTTTTGGGGTGGAAAAGCATGAACTGGGGTGTTTCCCCGAGGGACGGTGGCAGATCTTTGCAGAGCCACTCACTGTCCCTGCAGCTGACGGACGTGATCGTGGAGATGGCCAGCAACATCATGCTGGTGGACGACCACATCCTGTGGATGTCGCAGAAGGAGGAGAAGGCCTGCACCAGCATCGTCCGCTCCCTGGAGAGGATCGCAGCTCACACGCTGGGCAGCAACTCCCAGCACATGGCGGTGGTGAGGGGGGGCTGGAGAGGGAGGAGGAAAAATTGGGGGGCTGGTGTCGGGTCTCTGCCTGTGCCAGGGGTCTCTCTGGCTCTGCCAGGGGTCTCTCTGGCTGTGCCAGGACTGATGACCCCCCCACGGCGCTGTGCCCGGCAGAACTCCCGCAATATCGCCTTCGAGGCGTACGTGGTGAAGCCCGAGAGCTACGTGGGGCTGAGCTGCGTGGCGTTCCAGCGGCGGGACGGGGCTGCACCGGGACGTCCCCCCCTGGCTGAGCGAGGGGCCGAGCCCGTGCCCGACCAGCAGCTCAGGCTGCGCTGCACCACGGGGCGCCCCAACGTCTCCCTGACCAGCTTCCACATCAAGGTATGGCTATGCCAGGGGCCGGGGGGGGGCTTGGGGGTCAGCCCCTGCTCACCGGCGACCCTGCGCCCGCAGAACAGCATCGCCCTGGCCTCCATCCAGCTGCCCCCCAGCCTGTTTGCCAGCCCGGTCTCGGCCGTGCCAGGGACTGACTGCAAGCTCCAGCTGCTGGTCTTCCGCAACGGGAAACTCTTCTGCAGCACTGGGAACTCCTCCCGGCTGGCTGATGATGGCAAACGCCGCCGCGGGGCCACCCCGGTCATCTACGCAGGGGCCGGTAAGGGGGGGATGGGGGGGGGGGGCTTGGGCTGCCCTGGGGTTGCTTTTCTTGGGGGATGGAACTCCGTGGGCTTCTTGGGGTGTTGGTGGGGTGTTCCTGCAGCGCAGAGCCATCCCTGGGGTTCTCGTGGAGAGGTGGGATGTGGGGGGGCATCCCCCATGTCCAGGCCCTTTTTGGGTGCAGGTGGAGGGGTGTCACTTGTCCTGCTGACCGGGTTTCTCTGTTGCTGCAGACGGCTGCGGAGTGGGAAACCTGTCGGAGCCGGTGGCCGTGTCCCTGCGGCACCCCGGGGAGGGCGCGGACCCCGTGGCCGCGTACTGGAACTTCGAGGTGCTGGGGGGCATGGGGGGCTGGAGCGCCGAGGGGTGCCAGCTGGCTGCCCGTGAGCCCAACGTCACCTCCCTGCACTGCCGGCACCTCAGCAACGTGGCCGTGCTCATGGTGGGTGTGGGCGAGCGGTGGGGCCGGGAGCCTTGCCGGGGTGGGGGGAATGTGGAGCCTGAGGGCTGCAGTGGGGGATGTGGGGGGGGACAGGGGCCAGGGATGGCGACGTGGGGTGTGATGGGCTGTGCTGTGCCGTGCAGGAGCTGAGCGGGTTCCCCGGAGAGGCACAAGGTGCCGTGGAGGTGCTGCACCCGGCCATGTACACCTGCACAGCCGTGCTGCTGCTCTGCCTCTTCACCACCATCATCACCTACATCGTCCACCACGGGTGAGGGAGCGCCTTGGTGCCCGCGGAGGTGGCTGGGGGGCTGTGCAGGGGTGGGTGTCTCCCTGGCAGCTGGAGGGGCTCCCCAATGGCCAGAAGGAAAGTGCATGGGGATAGTCATCCAGGGAATGAGGCCCTTTAGGACATGGGCTCTCAGGAGACGACCCTCCAGGAACGTGCTGCCTGCCAAGTAGCACTGCCCCAGGAGCCCTGGGTCCTGGTCCTTTGCCCATGTGCACGTGTGTGCCTACACAGCTTCTCCACCAGCCACACTCCATGGCCAGGGACAGGCTGTTGGCCTGGGCCTCTGGATGCAGGGTCTGTGCCAGCAGGAGCTGTGGCTCTCTCAGGGCTGGGCAGGAGCTCACAGGTACCTGCTGTGCCTCTCGCTCTTCCAGCACCATCCTCATCCCACGGAAGGGCTGGCACATGCTGCTCAACCTCTGCTTCCACATTGCCATGACGGCCGCCGTCTTCGCGGGAGGCATCACCCTCACCGGGTACCGGATCGTGTGCCAGGCGGTGGGTACCGGGCTGAGGGATGGGCAGAGCCCCGTGCTGTGGGCTTCTGCAGGGCGGTGACCTGGGGGGAAACAGCCATGTCAGCAGCACCCCCTCCCCAACCGTGGCCTCTCCCACAGGTCGGCATCATCTTGCACTATTCCTCCCTCTCCACCCTGCTCTGGATGGCGGTGAAAGCCCGAGTGCTCTACAAGGAGGTGACCTGGAAGGCACCACGGCAGCCGGATGGGGATGTGTCCCAGGCAGCCCCCAGACCCATGCTGAGGTGCAGACCCCCCTCCCCCTCGCCCCGTCCTGGGGGGAGCTGCGGGAGCACCTCCTGCCCCACGCCCAGGGGCTGGGGTGGGACTTGTTCTGTTGGGCAAGCCCATCCCGTGCTCTCCTGAGGGCTGCAGGGCTGCAGTGACACCGTCCCTCCCCGTGCAGGTTCTACCTGATCGCCGGCGGGATCCCCCTCATCATCTGCGGGATCACGGCAGCCGTCAACATCCACAACTACCACGACAACAACCCCTAGTAAGTGTTCCCTCTCGACATTCCCTCCTCCCCACACGGGTGGCCTCCCTCTGCTGGGGCAGCAAACTGGGAATCTGGGCAAGACGGGGAAAGGCCAGTGAGGTTTTTCCCAAGAGTTATCCATGTACTGGGGAAAAATCAGCCAGGCAAGCAGCATGGCCCCACAGAGGCCGTGCCATCAGGGCGGGGCTGCTGAGCACCTCCACGCCACGACCCCTCAGAGCCCCTCTTGTCCCGCACAGCTGCTGGCTGGTGTGGCGGCCCAGCCTGGGAGCCTTCTACGTCCCCGTGGCTTTCATCCTGCTCGTCACCTGGATTTACTTCCTCTGCGCCGGGCTCAGCCTCCAGTGCCGACCCTTACGCCGGAAAGACATCCCGGAGCCACTGGAGCCACCGCCACGGCTGGGGGGCACCGGTGACCTCCTGACAGACTCTGGGTCCATCTCGGTGACACTGAACTCGGGGCCACCCTGCCCCGAGGGGGACGGTGTCTACTCCCTGCGGGTCCAGTTCTGGGCACTGGTGACCACCCACGCCTTGTACGTGGCGCTGTGGACGTTCGGTGCCATGGCCGTGTCCCAGCGCTGGTACCTGAACATTGTCTTCAGCTGCCTCTACGGCGTCACCGCCGTGGCACTGGGGCTCTTCATCTTCGTCCATCACTGCCTGCGGCGCCGGGACGTGCTCAGCTCCTGGTTCTCCTGCTGCCCATCGTACCGGAACGCGCTGCCCATGCAGGCCTACGTGCACCCCGGGCTGGGGCCGGAGGACGGCTCACAGGTCTTCATCGGCTGCGACCCGGAGGCAGCTCGTTCCGGCGCCTCCTCCTCCTCCTCGCCCAGCAGCGCCGGCTCGGCCGGGGGCCGCTGCAAGCTCACCAACCTGCAGGTCGCCCAGAGCCAGGCGGACGCCCGCCCGGCCGCCTGCCTGGAGCCAGATGCCGCTGACGGGAAGCCCACGAGGCACGCCAGCAACCTCCACGGCCGCAGGAGCCACCGGGGCAGAACTAAGCCGTGCCGGGACGGGAAGCACCACCGCTTGAAAATGCTGCGGGGCCCCTCGGAGCACCCGTCCAGCGAGAGCGGGAGCCTCCACAACAGCCACTCCGAGAGCTACCCCAGCGGCAGGACCAGCCCGGCCAGCGGCAGCCGCGTGGGGCCGCGGGGGCCCAAGGACGGGGAGGCGGCCGCCAGCCCCTCGGAGGGCAGTGATGGCGGGCGGCGGGCGCCCGACTTCGCCGAGGGTCGCCGGAGGAGCGCCAGCCGGGACAGCCTGCGGCCGGGCGGCGCCGCCGAGAGGGAGGCGAAGCGCCGCTCCTACCCCCTGAACGTGGGCAGCCACAACGGCGGCCTCAAGGGCAGCAAGTACGACATCAACCTGGCCAGCGCCGACGGCGTGGCCGGCATGAAGACCGGCCTCTGGAAGAGCGAGACCACCGTGTGAAGGCGGGGAAGGACCGACAGCCACGGTGATCTCCTCCGGGAGCTGCGGCCAGAGCTGCTCTGTGGGAATCACCACGTGCACTAGCAGGGATGGGCGGCACAGCCGGGGGGCTCCGGTGACCCCGGGTGACCCCACCTGTCCCCCCCCCACCCCGAGGAGGCTCCGAGCTTCCCGCGGTGGTGCCGGGTGAGGGCTCCAGGCAATCCTTGCAGGAACTGCGACTGTGCTTTAATCACTCCGGCGTGTCGCTTGAGACTGATCCTAAATGCTATTTTATATTATACAGAGGAAATGTCTATTTTTCAAAGCTATATTATTGAATGTATATATATGTATAGACAGAGCCGTAAGTGGCGCGAGGGCCTCGCTCCCCACCCGCGTTCCCTGGGAAGGGGATGGGCACTGGGCCAGGGCCCGCTCGTGCCACGACTGCAATATTCCCACTGAGGGACCACCCCAAGTGCCCTTCACGTCCAGACACCGCAGCCCCAGCCTGAGCAGGCGGCTGCTGGAGAGCAGCTGCTCCCTCTGGAGTGGTTTTATCCGGCGTTCAGCCCTGGCGGTTGCACGGTGCCAAAGCCATACTGCAAAGCCAAGCACAAGGTAAGAGGAGCCTCAGCTCCAAGGTGAGGATCACCTCGATTGTCTGCACTGCTTTAATGCCAGACACTAAAGTCACAGCCAGGAAGGGCTCCCAGGCCCTCGGAGGCACAAGCCATGCAATGGGGTGGGCTGGTGGAGCCGGGACTGACCCTCTGTGCCAAAGCACCAAAGAACCAAGATGTGTGACAAACCCAGAGCAGGTCCATGTCCTTAATCCAGAAAATACTCACGTTTGCTCTTAGGAAGGCAGAGAAACCTTCCTGGGGAGCAGGGACCATTCCTGGGAATGCAGGATAAAAATGCCAAGGAATTAGGGACCTTCCTCAGACAGTTCCCACGATGCAGTCAAAGGGCTGGAACCTGGATAAGCACTTACTGTTTCCATTGAAAAACAAGTCCCCCCCTTTTTCCCAGCAGGCAGGTAAAACAGCCAGGCCACGGGGAGGGCTGCAGCAATGCAGGACGGGAGTCTGGTGCCACCTCTGCCCTTTCCAGCCTCCCCTGCCTCAGCTTCCCCTGCGTGCAAATGAGTTTAATTACACAGCTACCTCCGAGGGGTCGTGGGGCCAGCGGGGGCCACGAGTCAGGGGAGGAAAAAGCACTTAGTGGGGCTTGGTCTCACCTCAGAACCCCTCAACCCACAGGGCTGGGGCACCCCTGGGCTTAACCTGCCGCTTACCTGCCTGCCTCGGCTTCTCTGCCCAGCTTAGATGCTTAAATATTTCATTGTCCCTGGTATTTAACACAATTTAAACCCTTGCTGTGGCTCCTGCAGCCCCACCAGCCTGGCTGATGCCCCGTGGTTCTATTGCTTTGCTGCACTGTGACAGTATTAGAGAAAAAGCTTTGTATTCTTAATTACACTTTGTTTTGTCTGTTTACAAGCGAATGACATATCAACAGAGCTTCCTGCAATATCCGGGGGGGAGGGAAGGGAAATATGCCAAAGAAATGTCTTTAAAGGGGTCTTTTTGCATTTTTATATGAATAGAATGTTTCTAGCAGATATGTTTTGTTTAATATATTAAAGACTTGCCAATCTGCCAAGACCCACTGTTATTTCTCTCAGACTTCATGTTCAGTACAGCCCAGCCCCAGGGGTTTTTCTGACCCTCACAAACTCATTCTGCTGAAGGATTAGAAGTGGAAGGTGAGGCTGCCCTGGAAAACCTGGCACCCGCACTTCCATTTATTTCTATCAGAAATGTTAACACGACCCAAAGCAGTCACTCTACAAAAAGCCCCATTTTGGTCCAGAACACAAAGGCCCCACAACCCCGTTTCCCAGGCGACTGTCCCGCAGCACAACCGCTCTGTCCCTGGCGGGTTTCACACTTTTGGTCCCAAAACTGTCTCTGGACCATCCTCTGGGCCACAACCGCCTTCAGGACCAGGCCTTGGCCTTCCTGAAGGCCCGGATCTCCTCGGGGCTCCGCAGGTACTGCTCGATCTCGCTGTCAGAGATGGGCTCGTCGCCGGTGATGGCCGGGTCGGGAGCGCTCGGAGCTGCCGAACGCAGCCTCTTCCTGGGATGGATGAGGCAGGGTGGGAGCAGAGGCCTCGGGAATTTCCCTGCCAAGGGACAGCCTTTCTCCTGTGCCACTGGAGGAGAACTGGGAGAGCCCTGGCCCAGCAAGTCCTGGCCTGTGGAGTCCTGGCCTGGAGCATCCTTATTCAGGGAGTCCTGGCCTGGGGAGCCCTTATCCAGAGAGTCCTGGTCTGGGGAGCCCTTATCCAGGGAGTGCTGGCCTGGAGTGCCCTCACCTGGCGATCCCTGGCCTGTGGAGCCCTGGCCTGAGGCCGCACCACACTGCTGCTCCTCCCCACCCTCCTGGCAGAAGGCGTTTTTCAGCAGGAACACCCGGTGCTGCAGCAGATCCCCCACGTGCTTCACCACCGTCTTCTTGTCCAGGTGGAAGCTGCGCAGCCAGGGGAGCTGGGAGGCCATTCCCAGCAGGATCTCCAGCAGTTCCTTCAGCCTCAGGTGGGCAGGGGGAGGCAGATCCACCCCTGCCACCCTGCAGAACCTTGCCAGGGGGCAGGAGAGGCGGGTGCGGGGCTGCAGCGACTGCCACGCCAGGAACGCTGCGGCCGTGACCACGGGCACGGGGTGCCGGCCCGTCACCAGCCACGTCTCGCTGGCCAGCTCCACAATCCCCATGGTCCGGGCCACCAGCTTCTCCTTGTCCTCCAGGAACGGGGCAGGGACGTCGGCCGAGGGCTGGAACAGCCGGAAGCTGCGGGAGCAGGGAAGCCTCGGTCACCTGGGAGATGTGGCTGCAGGGAGGCCCTCTGGGACAAACACACCCTGCCCCTGCCAGGGGCTGCTGCTCATGGACACCAGGAGGGGTTTCTTCATGGGAAGAATTGTTAAAACATTGGAATGGCCTGCCCAGGGAGGTGGTGGAGTCGCCATCCCTGGAGGCGTCCAAGGAAGGACTGGATGTGGCACTCAGTGCTCTGAGCTGGGGGACAAGGTGGGGATGGGGCACAGGTTGGACTCGATGACCCTGAAGGTCTTTTCCAACCTCAATGATTCCATGATTCTGGAACTCATGGTACCTGCCTGAGCACCTCCCTGCCCTCTCCAAACCGAGGAGATGAGAAAATCCCAGCCCAGGCGTGACAAGGGAGGCACAAAAGCCACACCCCTGTGCCACACAGCTCACCCCACCTGTGCCCCCTAGTAGGGGCCCTGTTACCTGCTCAGGTGTGTCTTCACCAGGTCTGCCAGGCTCAGGGCGGGCACAGAGAGCCCCAGCTCCTTCTGCAGGCTCTGGAAGACGCCGGCAAACAGCTCCTGCTTGGCGTAGAGGAGGGAGCAGATGGTGCCCATGGTCAGGGGCCAGTTGTGCTGGCGGCACGTCACGAACACGCAGCAGCCCCCCAGCAGCTCCTTCTTCTCCAGGCTGACCAGGTGGAAGGCAGGGAGCAGGAGGGCCCTCTGGAAGTAGGACACGGCCGTCTCCTCGAACACCGCCGGCAGCTGCAGGACTTTGCACAGGTCCTGGACCCGCCGGATCCCTGCGGGGAGACGCTGCCCTCAGAGGTGGGATCAGGCAGCTTCTCCTCAGCATTCCAGAGCAGGCAGAGCTCACCCAGCCCAGGCACAGGTGCCAGAGCAGCCAGGTTCCTGCACCTCCCCGTCCCTCAGTGCTGGCTGGGTGCAGCACCAGCTGCCTCATCCAGGCTTTGCCACCAGCTCCAAAGGGTCTCACCATTTTTTTAAAGCATTATAAATGCACTAAACAAACTGGAGCAGCAGCCAGGGAGGCTCGAGGGGTGGGGGAGAAACACTCTTACCTCGCTGCAGGCAGCGGCTCAGCTGCTCCTTCTGCCCAGTGCTCTGGGAATAGGCCACCTCTGGAAAACAGGGTTAGGTCAGACAGCCTTGCAGTGATCCCAGGGGGACAGTGTCGTTAGGATTTGGGGCAACCAAATCCAAATCCAACCCCACGGGGCTGGATTCCAACCATCAGAAGGGACAGAGCAGCTCAGGTGAGGGAGGGGTGGGATCCCCCCAGGGCTGGGGATTCTCCACACATGGATTCAGCCAACGGCCCACAGCACTTAAAGCTCTTCTAAGAGCTTTAAACGAGATTTCGACAGCCTTTTTCATTAATAATAAGGAATCCACACCGTAAATCCCTTATAAGAGATTTAAACGCCCAGGAGCGGCTCATCAGCGGCTCCCAGCCCAAACCCCGGCAGGGAAATGCTGTGGGCGACGGAGGGAGGGGAGAGCGGCCAGCGCGACCCGGCACGGCCCCGCGGACACCGGGAGACCGCCGGGAGGGACGGGGGTGGGGGGAGACACCGACACACAACCCGGGGAGCGGGTCAGCCGGGCCCCGGCGCGCTCCGCACCCCGCAGATGCTCCTCGTCGCTGTAGGTGGTGGTGAGCAGCCCCTCGGCCAGGACGCAGCCGCAGGCGGCGCAGACCAGCTGCTGCTGCGCGTACAGCGCGTCCTCCACCAGCGCGGCCGAGCCGCACTCGGGGCAGCGGCCCCGCGCCGCCACGGCCGCCATGGCCGCCGCCGGACCGCGGCGGGGGGAGCGCCGCCAACAGCCAATGGCGGCGCGGTCTGGCCGCAACCCACCAATAGCGGCGCCGCCCGCGGTCCGTCCCCCCCCCCTA